GGGTGGGACAGAAAACGAGGCCACCAACGAAAACTGCAACCGCACAAACTCATCTGATATTCAGATCTAATTTTGAAATAATCAAATAAATGGTCTGAGAGCTGAAAATGGCTCTCAGGAGGGGTGGCAGATGAGGGTGAGTGCGTCCGGGGTGTGGGTGGATAATTGATAATTTAATATTGAGCACTTTCGGAGTGCTCGCGAGAGGGGAATCATCGCTCAAGAGATTCTTTGCTCAATGAATCACTCTAGTTCCTCGGCGTCAATTCGATTAGTTGAGCCGCCATGTCTTCGAATGGGGGTGAGTGTGTGAAGGCATTTTCCCGCCACCCACAGTGCGGCTGCGATGCACTTAAGTGGATGAATTGTGCAGAAAACCCAGAAAAATCATGAGCAAGAGGAATATTTTTGGCCAAAACACTGGGAATTACATGAGTGAGATCGGAATTTGGGGATGTGCAGGATCTGCTCGTCTGCCATGAGCGTCGCCAATCGTGAACAGCCATCTCGGGATGGTATTGTGCAGAGGAGTGAGTGCATCCATGAGTGTAGCTTTGGTGTTGTTGCGAGTAATTAGAGGTGAAACGCGTTTCGTGCTGCATGTGAACGGCGCAGATGGGAAAGAGATTCACTTCTTGCATAGGAGTTGGATGTGCAGCATAAATTAGTGCATCAGTAGCGGCGATTCTGAATCTCTCACCCATTCTCTCTGCCACCAGTATCTCCTGCTGGCTCAGAACATTCCACGGAGTGCGCGATATCTCGCTGGCGACGCTCTTGGACGCTATAACATTGCAAATTGCCGGGACATTCTCTGCCCGGCGAATTTCCAGGCTAATTCCTTGTCACACGGCGCGCATGTGACTATCACTAATTGCTGGATGGGGTCAGAGAGTTATCATCTGCATCCGCTTTCCCGCGAGAGACTTTCCAACATCTGGCAGCGCGCGGTGCATCTCTTGGGCGTGAAGATCACCCTCATCGATGCTCTGACAAATGCATCTCATGTTCCTCCCTCGGCTGGGAAAACACCCGCGGGATTTCCTGCCCAAGCAGAGTGTCCCAGAAGTCACTACATGACTTTCTACTCTCGCCCATTCCTCGGCAACACACTTTTTTCCTGTATCCTCCATGGAAATCTCTTGTGAGATGGTGAAAAATCATTTTTTATCACGCGCGCCTCGCTTGGATTTTTAATGAATTCTCCTCCGTGTGTGTGCGTGTGTGTGGGAAAATCGAGGGGTTGCCATGAGGGAGAGAGTCCTGAAAAATCTCCTGTAATCCATCACAATCATCGGAGCGTCTCCCATATGCCAAGATCTCCAGCTGTTGCCGAAGATATCTCAAGAGGTGATCGAGATGTGCCACCTTGGAATTCTTACCAACTATTGTGTGCTTTCCGCAACATTGTATACACCTCTGCAATCACAACAATTTCCGCTCAAAAATCACACAATACACGTGCATGAATGGTGCAATAATTTACACCATCGTCCATCGTCCAATTCAATGGACGCCGCTTGTGCTCTTCTTCACTCAAAACCCACTCTGGGTACATTGTCCCGCCGATTTCCTATACCCAGATGATGCTCCGGAGATTAACCCAGAGTCAAGTGGAGGCTTTTATGCTAACCAGCGAAGAGAAAGGAGTTGATGAACAATGCAACTCACGCTTAATTCACATCATTTGCCTCCATTTCGACCCCGAAATTGTCCAGAATCGCCGCCAAGTAGCAACTATGTAATTTATAGTATTTGAATCTTTTGCCCAAGCGCAGCTAAGGACAATGCGCGTCTTCAAACATACTTACTCGCGGCTTTGTGGCCATAAAATGCATCTTGCGTGTCTCCGTTTGCCGAAATCATCTCACAAAAATCTCTTGTTGCACACTTTCTTGCACACAAAAGAGCGAGCGCGGCTGAATTGTGTATCGGCACAAATGTGCGTCTTGAAGAATCTTCACTTGAAGAATCCTCCAAGAGAGACCACTTTATCGATTCCTCTCTGGGGCCCTTTTGTGCTGAGTGGACGGGGAGAAAAAAATGCGATGGGAAAAATCATCCCCTGAACCAATAAAATTTGATTCGATAATCCGTGACGAATTGAACAGAGATGCACTCAGTGCGGAGGGAAAGAGCATCTGAAGCACTCCAGCGGATGATTTTACAATCAATCATCGCGACACACATGATGTGTCACAGTGGCGAAGCTTTAAGGTTTTTATCGAATTTTATTGAATCAAAATTTCTCTGCTCAGTTCTCGAGAATTCCCGGCTAAAGACTGAGAATTTTTCCATCATCGCGAGACGCGCTACTGAAGCTGTGAGGTGTAATCTCTAAGTATTCTACTCTTTTTTTCGTTGACTTGAGCATATAAGAAAATATATCTTCTTTCGTGGAAGTGATCAAAGAATAGACTTTAATTGCTCCCATGAATGTGATTGTCTCAAATGATCCACTAGAAAGTGAATGACTTGCGAGAACGTCATTTGTGTCACAAAAGTCTGCGTCATTCAGGGCTGTATTTGGGCGCGAGCCAGAGAGAATCGGTGAATTGCCTTTTAATCTGTATGAGCACCAGCATGATTTATTCTGATTGAAATAATAAAAAAAAGCAAGAGAGAGAGAGGAGAACCTATATGACGGAGTGATAGCTAAAGTGGCTGAATATAATTCATTTTTATATCATTCGGCATGTTGGGTGGATGATACAAATGATGTGTGCGTCTGACCACCAACACTGTCTGTATCGCAACACTCTTCTTCTTCTCGGCGATGCTCCTCATCTCGCCACATCGGAAGAAATGAATGCGATGCTTTATGGTGTGCAGTTAACAGAGCATTTCATTAAATAATACCCAAAACACACTTCACGATGAGGCACACAATCATCCAATAAAACTATACACGCCGAAGGAGGAAGTTTTACGGCTCGCACAGATGTCCGGGGAGTGAGATTTGGGGGCGCTGAGATGCGCCCCAAACGGCCGAAAAGCGTCCTACGCCGAGTCCTGGCGATCTTGGCATCGGTGGCGAAAATAAGACAAGTAGTTAGTACGTGCTATATCTAATTTCTGACATTTTATAGACTCTCATTACGCTATGAATATACAACGCACTTGTGGGGCTTTTTTATGGTTGGGGAAACGCAGCATTCAACTTTACCATGTAATCTAAATTTAATGATGGGGCCACATGTACTCTCTTCCACCGATGCACGCTGAAGTGAGAGAGAATATACATACATACATATATATATTGAGATTTGAGATGTGATCCCAGCAGAAACATTTTAGTGATACATAAACACACTCTTGTGACTCCAAAAGTGCTCAAAACTCATGAAGGAAGACACAGTAGCGAAAATTTATTTAGGCCACCTGAGAAATTAAGGCCAATTTTCCTTTTCCTCCCTAAAATTTGATGTTTTTTTTCTAATTTTTTTATGCAAAAGAACAGCAAAATGAAGTTAAGACACTTCAAATTCATCTATAAATCTAAAACGGCACAGAAAATAACATTAAAACATCAGAATCTAATACTAGAAGACATTTACATTGCAAGACGCTTTGATTATGTGATTTTACCTTCCGTTTAACAATTCATTGCATCCCTTTGTTGTGAAAATAAAAGCATTTTTCCATTTGAAAAGTATGCTTTTTGTAAAGCAAATCCTTCACTGGTTCTTAGGTGTCTCAAATTAATGTTCCTCTACTGTGCATGATGAGGAAAAAAAGACGTGGAAAAGTGCATGTTCTCGTGAAGATCATCTTATAATCCGTCAAGTGCCCATAAATACTTTTGACTTTTTCCCCCAAACTCTCTCAACTTTCTCTCTCTCTCTTTCTCCCTTCGCATCCATCTATTTTTACAAGCCCAAGGAAAAAAAAAAGCAGTGAATCGCTCATGAGATAGTTGAGGGATGATGACATAGACACGAGATATTCCACGCCAAAGCGACTTTCGCCAGCATTTATAGCGCGTTTATTTGAATCAATTTGCATGGTGTGCGTAAAAAATCAGACAGCGACAATTAAATTTACGATTTACTCCTTGGCGGATGATTTATAAGCGAATAATTACCAACACATTTAATATTATACTATTTTCAAATGGCTAAACCACCACAAGTGCGCGCTTCGCGTCGTTCTTCTCGCAAACCACTCAATAAAATGTATAACTTTTTTCCTCCTTCTTCATCCAAATGCTGTTATCTCTGTCGAATTATAAATTCCACTGATGACTCGAACTTGTCTATAAATAGCATTCCCGCCTGGATCTCATTTCCACCTTCGGAAATGCGTTTCTTATGCCGCAATCTTTTTTCTTCTTTCTTCACTTAAGTTGGAGATTGAAGCTGAAAAGAATGAAAATTGCAGAGAAAGTTTCAAGACAATTGGAGAATCTTGGAGATCTGGAATGGTTGAAAAATCCCACGAAATCCAAAGGCATTAATTATATACCTTTCAATCAAGTTTCTGATATGGAAATGTCCGAAGCCCACGATGATTGAGCATCCGAAAGAGGTGATATTTCGAGGTGGAGAGGAGAAAAAACGCCACAGCTAGAAGACAATAAATAATTAAATTAACGTGGAAGTGGTCATTTAGTGATACTTACAGACCCATTTAAATTCATGATCATGCTGACTGTCAATAAATTGTTGGGTTATTATGAATTCAGTCGATCAAATCAAAAATTCTAGACACAGAACCCGTGCGTCTGAAGCGCATACTTTTTGCTCACTTTCCCGTGTCCGTTTGTGTTTGGTCAAGTGTCATCGTCTAGCAGTGAAACCAGTCAAGCGTCCATCCGATCGTCCATCCGTCTTACTTTAATTGATCACTTCTTCCACTTTATTGGTCGATCCGGTGCTTAATTGGTGTTTGAATTGTGCCTTTTTTCCCCCGCGAGCGCAGAAGTTCAATCTCTTGTGAGCAGTTTGCGCCCTTTGAAATGCTTATTGATGCTAATTGAGGGTGTTTTTGTGCCTTTCCAGCGACCACCTAGTTCGTCCCTGTCATATAGCGGACCAGTCAACGATGACGTGAGATCGCCGGGCTCAGGAGGCACTCCTGGCCCACTCTCAGCCCAGCCGCAACCCGGATTGGATTCATCAGATCCAGGTGAGTCCCAAGACAATCTCCATGTGTGTGAGGAAACAGGGAGAAATGCTATCGCCAGTTGGCCATTTTTCAAGCCACTGTCAATAGGGCAACATAATACCAACATCTAACATGCGTTGAAAATTTTATTGTGACTTTCTGCCCGAGATTGTTTATACATAATTTATAAAATATGGTAATCAAATTACTCCGGGTGCAAATTTATGGCCAATGACAATTAAATTAACGACAAATAATGACTCTAATTAATGACATTTATTAATCGCGCATTCACAACACCATTCCTTATCGGCAACTGGAAAAAAAGGCGAACGAAGAAATATGATGAACGATGTAAACAAGTGTCAGAGGTTCTAACACTGTGGCCCTCATTAAATTGATAATGCAATATGAGACGTCGATTCATGTGGCCGATGGGACTCTAAGCATTTCGCGGATGTTGATTGGAAAATACGAGTCTCTTTTTTGCCACCATTCGCGCCACTATCTTGCCATGAAGTCATCCTATCTCAATATTCACACAAACTCAAAGAGCAACGATAGTTTCTTTAAATTTAAATTGGACTTTAAATTTCATTGGTTGTTTATAAAAAGACTTAAGTAAAAAAAATAACTGAAATCTAACCGAAAACTGTCTAAAATCTAACCGAAAACTCACTGAAATCTAACTCACAACTTTAAAACTCACGTTTTCATACAATATTTTATGGTTTTTTCTCCCTAAAATTGTATTTTTGCGTATTTTTCTTATTACTTCATACTTAAAATCGCAACAGTTTATTTAAAAAAAATTGAGGTTATGTTTCACTTTAGCATTGTTTATTAAAATCACGATTTTTATTGGGGAAAAATTCAAATTTTTATTAACAAAGTAAATGATAATCATTTTTATAATTTCTGTAATAATATTACGGAAAATAATCTACAAGAAACATTTCCACAGAGATTAATGCATATTTATTTATTAGTTTTGTGATATTTTCTTCAATTTCTGTCCTTCAAAGCATGTGTAAATGACAGATTGACTATTAATTTCATGGCATTTATTTAAAAATAAAATAAACAATAATTGATACAAATTGGAACGACATATAATAAAATTAAATTACTGATTTATTTGCGAATTAAAATCACACTGAACAAACTTATGAATAACATGGCAATGACGGATTTTCCCACCCTCCATTGCCGATGATTTACATAATGAACCACTGATTCTATTATTATTATTCATTTGCCGTGATTTATATATTTTCATCTCAACATTAACCATACATAAATTGAGAAGGCAAAATGTTTGGACGATCTCTCAAGTGGCTTAGCTGAGATCTGTGTCTCATGGGTGACTTCTTCGCCCATGGGGTTGTTTATTCAAATGCCAGCCGAATACCCTCTCTGAGTTGTGGATTTTTCCCATCCGATGAGATCAGAGATTTCACTCTTAATGTGTTTACGTACATGACAATTTTGGCGTTGAAATAACAATGAGGGCAGCGCAAGAAAATCCCATAATGTGTTTAGTTTTGACATACGCTACCAAATATTGCTGTGCAAGGACACAAAAGGATGTTTCCAGGGGGGTTGCAAGAGTGTATATTCAACGGTGGAATTGATGACAGTGGGTTGGGAGAGAAAATAATCGATGTTTTCAATTCAATTAGTTCTACACACACTCGCCTTCACCCCTCGTTGCCCCGCAGCGCGGAAAAATATTGTTCTTGCCGCGATGGGACAATTGATAGCCTTTTTAAATACATCGGTGGGATGTGAGATATTCCTGCGATGTTGCTTGCAATCTCTCTAAATTACTTTGCTAATGCGACAGAAATGAATTGTCAAAATTTCCCAGTGCCAAATAATGCTCTTTGCGCCTCTCTTGTGCAAAATAGCACAACGTTTTCCTAGTGAGGATGCAGCAATTTCATCCACCATGTTGGAGTTTTATTGAATTTGTGACGTGGCAGAAAAAGCGACCGCTTCAGTGCATTAGAATTTAAAGGTGGACGGAAAGAGAGTCCAGTGCATTAAGGCAGTAATTTTTGATATTCCACGTCGGGGAGTTTGATGACTGTTGTTGGGGTGTTTGTTAATGGTGATGTTGCACAATTTCGCGTGGCGGGTGGAGTATTTCACTCATTGTTGCCATCGATGGTGTGTTTTTCGACAAGAAGGGCGATAGATATGGACGCCATGAGTTGACGCTGTAATTTCCGAACAATTATTTTGGGTGATATGGTGAAATTCGCCGCAGAGTCGAGAGACTTCGACCTCTGAACCGCGCGCGCGTCTCGCGGAAGGTGTCGAAGACGCAAACTATTTGTAAAGGTATCTCATGGCAGACGTGAAAAATTCAATATAACACCGCGCCAACAATGACGGAATCTTGAAGACTTTTACTCATTGTTTCTCGAGTGTTCAATGAGTTGGTAACTTTTATCTCATCCGCTGTGTCACGTGAACATCTCAAGGAACCCTTTTTTTTCCCCCGCGGGCGCGGGCAAGAAATCAATTATTAACTCTCTATTGCGCGTTTTTATTCCGCGATTAATCAGTCACTTGGCGCTCTTTGTCTCCGCCATCCTTAATCTCACTTTCCAGATCGAGAAACACTCACAATAACCGGGAAAAAAGGAGGTAAAGGCGCGCGCCTTTGTAGCATTTTTCCATCGCGATGCTCACGTATTGTTTTCACCGCGTGTCCGCGGAAAAACCACAATTTTTACCGCACTTTTTCCATCTCTTTCGGGAGCGCACAAGACAAATCGTGTCGTGAGGAAATTTGCTCGATGGATTTTCCTCCCCGGGAAATTTGATTCTGAGGAATGGGGCAGAAGAAAAAGGGGATGTCGGTCGCATTGAGATACGGTTCATCAAATTCAGTGTTAGTGTTCGCCCAATTGTGAAATGATAATGCTCTCTTTCTCCGCGCTGGAAAATTCTATATAGTTGAGCCAAGGTTGGCGCGCGGGTTCGGTGAGGAATTCGCTCTACTGAATTGCCAATAATTGCTTACAATTTGTGTATTTGAGAAATAAATAAAATTCTCATTTTGGTGTCTCTGTTGTCGAGTGTGTCTAAAAACTATATAGAAAAGAATGATTATAATTATGGAAGTTTGTAGCTTGACTCTGGAAAATTGCTACCATTTTATTCGCTCACCCCATGATGAGTTTTTCCGCTCACACATACGATCCTCCCCATCCCCAGCCTATGCGTCATAGAATGGCAAATGTGAATGCCATCATCTTCATTTAATCACATTTTTCCGGGCCCTCCACCGCCGTGCACTGGCGAGGTTGGCGGTGGGGGTGAATGTGCTCAAGGGTTGCGATGTGTCGTGTCTGCGAAATTACGCAGATTACACCTCTGGGCTGAAAAATTGGATGCCGTTTGGTGGATGATGCCGCCTCTCATGAGGCAAAGACATCCCCCGGTGGCACCTGAACCCTCGTGCGCACGCCATCGAAGGGTGGAGTGATGATTCCGCCACGAGACGTGGCATTTAATGGGGCGACATCAGTGGAGTGTGCCATAATGGGGCGCCCATTATACCCATTTCGCATTTATTTGATATTTTTGTCACGGGCCAAAATGCACGATAATACCGGAAAAGGTGATAAGAATTTGACAAATTTACTTGAATTAAAATGTTCACTCTCTCTCTCTCTCGGCACACTCGAGAGTGAAAATTATTCGCCATGAGAGTGCGAGTTGATTATGTGTCGTATTACGTTTGATGGGAAAAATGATATCGCCGCGGAGGAAAAATACCCAACCATCTGGCCATAATTTCATCTCCCCGTGCATTTTGAGTGTTTCATCGTCGAGGGTGAGACACTATGTGTGAGTGTGCATTGTCAAAACAATAAAATCAATTATGATTTCACTGAAAAATCGCCCCGTCTTGCGTAATGATGTCACACGCCGTGGATAAATTGCGTGGAAGAAGTGGGAGGGAATCTTCGGGGTTGGTTAAACTTTTCATTACTTATGCTTCTCTAAATCAATTCACCGCTCATCTGAAATGGTCTGGTGGAAATTTTGAAGAAGGTAAACACGCAATTTTCCTCGTTAAGTCCTCCTCCATTTGTGCATATGATGATAATGATATTTCAGAGCTCAAGAGATTGAATTTCCAAAGGAAATTCACAGTGGCGGTGATTTATTGGCTTGTAAAAAATGCGTGTAATCTTTAATTTAATTTCTGTATCGAGCAATATCTTTTCGAATAAATTTAATTCATATACGTTTAAATTAGCTTTAATTGAGAATTAAGTAAATTTACGATCTTGTTAAATCATTCCAAGAGTTATTTTATTTGAGTTGAAATCCTCAATTTATTCACCCCGCGCGCTCAGTGGCAATATATATATAGAGGAAATTCCCAGAAATCCACCAAGCTTTTCGGTCTGCCATTCGATGGGAGATTGAAGTTGGGAAAGAATGAATGCTGATGATGAACCCCATGGAAATGCATCAGCGCTAAGATGGCAGTGTGAAATGCGGTAACGTGCGGTCTTTCAAAACATCATCGCATCTCTCAATCTCACCATCCATTGTGATGCGCATCGAGTCAACCCCTCGGCGGGACTCAATCGAATTCATAGGACCAGCCACCCCTTGGCCGAGTAGACAATGGAACACGTTTGCGTGTAATTTTAAAGTTCTCCCCGTGCAACTGTGACGAATAGGGGTTGACGTGAATTTCTCCCATTCTTCTCGGGGCTCCTTTATCCACGGTGACACTGTTGAGAGGATGGCCTCATTGTCAATTGGGAGAATCGGAATGAATTTTATGATGGATCGCACCAGCACATCACAACACAACCCCTTCTGAATGTCTGTGAATGTGTGTGGCTCGTCAAGGGGTGGTTTTGCTAAGCGTTTAGCTGTGATTCTTGGCATCTAATGTACACACATTATCGTGAATTCATCATGCTATTTGGCAGATATTGTCACTCCAATTGCATGCAATGCAACTTATCCTACCAGATTTGATT